CTGCCATTTACTCTCAGGAATCCAACTAAGAAAAAGTTCAAAAGTCAACCATCAGTTGGAAAATTGATGCTTACAGTTTTCCAGGGCTTTTAAGGGTCAGTATTGGAACACCATCATGAAGAAGGTTCCATAGTCAATAGTGCTCCTTACAGCGAGATGCTCATGAAGAGCTGAAGCCTAAACTTCGGATTAACACAGAGGACTGCTATCCAAGGGCACTGTGATCTTGCATGACAATACATGTCCACACACCTCTGCCCACACTGTTGTCACTCTGCAAAAACTTCATGTTGAGGTGTTCAAGCATCCTCACTATAGTCCTGATCTTGCTCCATCAGACTTTCACCTGTTTGATCCCCTGAAAGCAGCCTGAGGATAAAGATTCACCTCTGATGAAGAAGAGAAGACAGTGGTGCATGTGTGGCTCACAACTCAGCCTAATTTTTTTTTTAAATAAGGGAATACAAAAGCTTGTTGACAGATGGATAAACTGTATTGAAAAACAAGGATTTTATGTCAAAAAATGATGCATTAGTCTTTTCTAAAAGGTGATTAAATTTTATAGCCAGAGTGTGAATAATTTTTTACTCACTTTGGCATATTCTTTTTCTTCTTCTAATTTTCTCATTTATTATTTTGTCTTTTCATTGTTGGTTGCTTGTTTTTTTGTTTTCTTGAATGTGTGTGTCAGGGGGATTCTCCTCTTTACTCTTTCACAGCTGGCAGGAGACAGCAACCGTGCCATCAGCTCACCACAACTGTACTCTCCACAGCTCCACCACTGGGCAATCGCCAATACCAGCTCCTATACCACCTGATCAATGATAGACAGCAGTCAACACCAACCAAACCCATCCTAAAGTGAGATGCATAAACAACAAATGGAAAATGGTGCACACATTTCCATTCTCTACCTAAACCAACAGGACTGAGTTGGTGAGCGTCTAAAAACACATCAACATACAAGCATCAATTAGATGCAAATATGACAACCCAACAATGTCCTGGGAACAATAGGCAATTTTAGCTCATATGAAGAAACAAGACAGAATGGCTCAAACAGCCAAGATGCTGAGCCAGAAAATGTTTTGAGGAAAAAAAGGTCATGGAACTAACTGAAAGAGAATTCAAAAGAATGGTATTAGGTACCTTCAAAACACTGATAGAAAGATTGAGGAAAGCAAGAAGAACACACACACAAAAAAACTTCAGAAGTAATCAGGAAAATACAAGAGAACAAACAGAAAGTAAATGCAAAATTTAAAACAATACAAAACCTACACACAGAAAGCCAAAAGATTGATACTAAGATTTCAGAAATAGACAATACATTCATTGAAAGGGAAAGGAGCAGATTTGAAGTAATGGATACCCAAATTTGTAAGCTTGAAGATAAATCTCTTAATACTAGTATGCTAGAGGAGCAAACAGAAAAAAGAATGAAAAAATCCTAAGAGAGTCTAAGAGTTACGTGGGACACAGTGAAGAGGAATAATTTATGGGTGATGGGAATTTTTTTTTTTTTAAGCAGAAAAGTCATATACTATTTTAGTACAAAACCAGCTGCGACTGAGAGGTGGCTGTCACGTTTCCTTAGTGCAGGGAAACCTGGGTCCACCAGTACAGTTGTTGGACCCAGAGGAGAAAACTCTGGGGGGCTCCTGTCAAGGAACTCATGAGGTGAGTGGAAGAGGGATGTGACAAGCTGAGTTCCCAGCCCTAGTTTCTATAGACCTAGATGTTGTCTATGTTCAGGGCACCTAATCCTGAAGCAGTTTGTGGAGGCCCTTTAGGTTGCTAGTTTCAGTGTCTGTCAGAGCCAGATGGCAGCCAGGGGCAGGTAGCCAATTGCGAAAGTTCCTGCTAGTCTAATTCTCATCTGTTGGCTCTATGTGTTCTGTAGATCTGGAGCAGAGCCCACCTGGATCCAGGTGCCAAGGTGTAGCACGCACCCACATTATACTGGCTCAAAACATGTGACTCAAACCTCCTGGAGAGTAGTGACTTTGCCGGGATAGATAAGCGTGGGGGCCAGCCTCACCTCTGTTACGCAGGGCAGAGTGGGGAGCAAGAAAGAGTCACACCTTTCCATCATCTGTGTGAATCTGTACCGTCAGGCCACCATCTGTCTCTCCAAAACTGCTTGCAAAAGTTCAAGATGGCCTTACCATCTTCTAATAGATTCTAGGATTGTCCTTTGTGTCTTTTTCATTGGGCCTCTGGCATCTGTGTTGTAAAGGGTTTTTGTATTGCGTGTCTGCCTACTCTGCCAATTTACTGGAATTTTCCATGAACTTTCTGAAGCTCCCTCATTGCCTTCCGTTCACTCCCATTACTACATGTTTGCTCTCTAGACAGTGACATCCTCTGTGAAAATGATGTGGTGGCATCAGTCCTCAACTCACTGAAAAAGGAGGGCAGAGAAGAATCAAGATCAGCATCAGTTCAGCCTTGAACTCGGTAAGGCAGAGGTCAGACATGCCTCCACCCTCCAACCTTTTTACCAATTCTGACACCAACTGTGCCTCCCACAACACTCTCCATTTCCCTGCTGGGTTTGATAACTTGTTGCAACAGTCTCACATAACTCAGACAACACTTAATGCGGTTTATTAGGAAGTAACAGGTTACAATTCAGGTTCAGGAACACTCAGGATAGTTCTTTGATTACAATTGTCTCTTTTCAGCAGTGCCCGCAGGCACACCCAGGCACCTCGGCCCATTGGTCTCTGCACTACTTGGGTAAGAATTTCAGAGCTCTTTTGTTGTTGTTTTTAGGTGCTGTTGAGTCGGTTCCTCATAGCAATCTTGTATAAGGTTTTTGAGGAGTAGGTAGTGAGCTTGAACTGCTAACCTTGCAGTCCAGTGCATTAACCTGCAGCGCCACACCAGGACTCTGCTGATTTGTACTTAGAGATAACCAACACCAATAAGCCTCAGCTTACAGGCACTCAGCTCTAGCTCCTTGGATCAGCAAATTTAGTTCCTCTAGTAAATGCCAGAAGGCACCCCACCAGAAGGCACCCCAATTCGCCAGCAAGCTTCTTGCTCTCTCTGCTATGGGCCCACCAGTGTCTCCTGCTGGTGTCCTGGTTCTGCTGCCTCTGCTGTTGCAACCTCACTGTCTCGAATGTCACTGCTGTCTCCTGGTTTAGAGGCTCTTCTTGATGGTAGTGAGATCCCACTCTCTGCCTCTAGGATGACTCATTGTAAGCCTAGGAGGATGGAACCCAAGGGTGTCACGTATCTTCTTTACATTATTAGCAAGCTATCCAATCCCGTTAGTTGGCCACAAGACCTCATATTTGCATGTTGTTAAGTGCCATCAGGTCGGTTCCAAGTCACAGTCACCCTGTATAAGGTTTCTGAGAAGCAGCTGGTGAGCTTGACCCTGCGGTTCAAATCGACTGCAGTTCAGCGCATTAACCTGCAATGCAACACCAGGACTCTATATTTGTAAAGACCTAGTCATTTGGTGAGTTATAACACTAAGTTATTCACAGCACTGCTCTCTTCTTTCCTCTCCCTTCCCCAGTAACCACCAAAGAATCTGTGTGTATGTTGTCTTGAGTTTTTATAATACTGGTCTCATACAAAAACTGTCTTTTTGTGATTGACTCCTCCCATAGAGTTTTCAATGGCTAATTTTTTAAAGTAGATTGCCAAGACTTTCTTCTGAGGTACCTCTGAGTAGACTAAAACCACCCATCTTTCAGTTAGTAGTTGAGCACTTAACTGCCCATGCCAACCAGGGATGCCTTCTTCGGATAACAGAGCTACAGATTTTTGTTTGTTCATCTCTATGTTGGGAGTCCTGGTGTGGCGCTGTAGGATAAGTGTACCAAAAGGTCAGTTGAACTGCAAGGTCAGCAGTTCACTCACCAGCCACTCCATGGACACCTATATAGATAGGGTTCCTGAATAGGGACCAACTTGAAGACACTTAACAACAACGAATCTACTTCAAAAAATTTCAACAAACATAATAGCTTTATGAAAGATAATAACTATCATCTGTATCAAAATTAAAAATAGCAAGGGAACACAGAAAAAAATCAGAATTATATGCATTTCTCTTCAAAGTTTTGTTGTTGTTATTAGGTGCCATTGAGTCATTTCTGACCCATAGCAGCCCTATGCACAACAGAACAAAACACTGCCTGGTACTGCGCCATCCTCACAATTGTTGCTACCTTGGGCCTACTGCTGCTGTTACTATACCAATCCATTTCATTGGGAGTTTTCTTCTTTGTCACTGACCCTCCAATTTAACAAACATGATGTCCTTCTCTAGGGACTGGTCCCTCCTGATAACATATCCAAAGAAAGAGGCAAAGTCTCGTCATCCTGGCCTTTATTCCCATACAAGTTCATAGCCTCTACATTACAAGTTTTATACACAGATGGTAAAAAAATAGAGAGATTTTTCTCCCCAACAGCTAAATTATTCCAGTTTCCCCTCCATTAGAAGGCTATTGAGTAATTTCGAGCCCATCATTAAAAAGGCTGTCAGCTCTGAGACTATGACCCTTACTTAAGTCACCCTTCAGGAACTGAACTCATCCATGGCTCAATTTTCAGCAGGACAATAGACAGGCCTATAAGGAGAACCATAATACTAGGGAGGTACACAATTACCACGGAGATCAAAAGGTCAGCATTTGCCCAAGGACAAAGTTCAGAAGGCAGAAGGGTTAGGAAAGGAAATAGGGACACAGGGTACAAGTGGGATAAGCGATGTTACATTGTGGCGACTGAAATCAATGACATGAAACAAACAAACTGCGTATAAATCATTGAGTGGAAAAGTGAATCTTCAACCAATTCACACACAGAAAAGTTAAAATATTAATAATAATAAAATGGTAACAAATAAAAAGGCTGTCACAAAAGTGAAATCATCACATGAAGAAAACAGGACCAAGAGCCAAGTTCTAACTGTCTTCCTTCCTGGGGAAAGAATGCCTGGCTGGTAGGGGGAAGTGGGGCATTCATAATGCCTTCTTTTTTGTAACAGGTGAGGACAGGCCCCAGTGGTGATGCCCAGCCCCTCTTAGTCACATAAGCCTTTTGGGGTCTATTTTCTCTAGGTGAACCAAAGGTTTCAGCTGCTCAGCAAAGTTCCTCATATCATCAGAGACCATGTCCTGCCCGGCTGGTGCAACAACACTTAGTTCCACAAGATAGGAGAGCGACAAGGCCTCAATGCTGTCTGTGTTCCCTGGCACCAGGATGCGGAAAATCTTGTACACCATAATCTTCATGATGCCCTTACGGAATAAGTGTCCCTTGGCAACAAATTCATGGTCCATGCGGAAGCCCATTTCCATCAGAAAGTCAGTGAGGTTTTCAGACGTGGCAATGTCAACGCAGTTTCGCACTAGGGCATGGCGGTTCTTGTCTCCCATTTCTGGCTGTCCCAGGTAGCGCAGGTGCCAAGGTGTCCCTGCCCTATCCATAGAGCGCCGGGCCCTGAGAACAAACGGGCTGGCCTGCTGGCCCTTAAGGAGGAATACCATCTCATGGTCAAGGAAAGTCTCAGGTTCCATGTTATCACACAAACCACGAAGGCGGTGGATAAGGCTTTCCAAGCTGTGATCTAAAACGCTCCCTGAAGAGGAAAAAAATACTATTTGAATCCCAGGTTTTATTTTGGGTCAAAGAAGTAGCAAAAAATTCAGAATACCTAAATGAAAGACCACTTGTATACTGTTTTGTGATGCAAAGGCCCAACAAGTAAAATTTTATGGGGTAGCAATGCCTAACACTGGAGACATGGTGTGGCGCTGTGGGTTAATGCGCCAGACTGCAAAGCCATTTGAACTGTAAGGTTGGCAGCTCAAGCTCACCAAATGCTCCTCAGAAACCCTATACAGGGTCACAATGGGTCAGAACTGACTCAACAGCACTTAACAACAATGACAAACATACTAGTTCTCTACTAGTTTGTCCATGATCATCTCCTTCCACTTGCCCCCTTGATCACTCTCTCGGGCCACCATGATCTTCATGCTATATCCTGAAGGAACCAAGCACACATCCTCCTCAGAGCCTCTTTCCTTATTCCCTAAGCTGAGAATGTTCTCTCCTCAGTTATCAGCATGACTCACCCCATCACTTCCTTTAGATCTCTGCTCAAATGTTACTTTATTAGAGAGGACTTTTCTGACCACCCTAAATAAAAGAACATCTCACCACAAAATTTCAGTAATCTTTCAAAGTGTCAATTGTGTATTAAATTTTTAAAGTCATTTTTGTCTTCCACTGCTGATACTTCAATGCTAGAAATATCTTTCAAATATTTGTTAAGTAAATCTGTAAAAATATATAATGGTGGTGGTGGTGGTGATGTGCTGTGGAGTCAGTTCTGACTCATAGCCACCCTGTATAGGGTTTCTGAGGCTATAAATCTTTATGGGAGCAGAAAGCCTCATTTTTCTCCCGTGGAACAGCAGGAAGTTTTGAACTGCTGTCCTTGCAGTTCACAGCCCAATTCGTAACCACTACGCTACCAGTGCCTTAATAATAAATCATAGTATGCTGTTATTAAGTGCCATCAAGTTGGTTCCGACTCAGCGACCCTATGTAGGGTTTCTGAGGAGTGGCCGGTGAATTTAAACCACTGACCTTGCAGTTCAAACCGACCCTGTGGTCTAGTGTTTATTCTATCAGGATTCCAAATTATAGTATAAGTACATTATAATTATGGCAAATTGATAACCCATTGCCACTGAGTCAATTCCAACTCAGGGCAAGCCCACATATTTCAGTGCAGAACTGTACCCAATAGGGTTTTCAGTGTCTATAATTTTACAGAATTATTTTACCAGGCCTTCTTCCATAGTACTTACTGTTGGGTGGATTAGAAACCCCAACCCTTAGGTTAGTTAGTATGTGAGCACAAAATATTTATATCACCCACATCCTCAAAATTGGTAGTGGGACTCCGATGACTGGATTTTTGGAAACAATACGGTTGTAAGAAAAGCATCTGACCAGATCTAAGTAATCATGGGATAGAAGATCCTTGGGAGCAGAAAATGGTGTCCTGTCTTTCAAACAGTGTCAGATAAGGGTTTGTTTATTCGTCAAAATATTTTAGCTGTTTAATAACTACTGGGTCACTGAACATATAGTTATTTAATGCTGTGCCAGGTACTATGTTAGGTAGTAGAAGGTCCTTCCTTCATGGCGATTAGTTTAGTTGAAACAAAAATTAAGTAAACAAACAAATACAAGGATATAAAAGTGTGGGGACATAGACAGCAACTGGTAAAGGAGTGAGGAAGGCAAAGGGTCTCTATGAGAGGGTGAAATGGTCACAAAAGACCTCTCTATAAGGGGTGACAGCTGAGACCCAAAGGATGAAAATGAGATCGCCATTTGAAGAGCTACAGAGAAAGTCTTCAGGGTGGAGGAGTCTTCAAGTGCAAAGGCACGGAGGCAGGAATGGGTGTGAGGGGTTTACCATGAGTAACTCTTAGAAACATGCTGACTGAAAGAAGCCTTAGGCAAGAGTACATTCATATTATTTAATTTATATGTTTTGGAAAGGAAAAAGTAATCTATGGTGGCAAATAATCAGAATGCTAGTTTCTCTACTGGGGAAGGGGTCAGGTTGAGGTCTAACAGGAAAGGGCATGGAGAAACTTTCTTAGTGATGATCATGTCGTAACATGGAGAAAGGGTTTAGGTTACACAGGTGAATGCATTTGTCAAAATTTCTGGAATTGGTCTACCTAAGATTTGTAATTTTTTTATATATAAATCTTACTTCAAAAAAAAAACCAAATATTACACCTGGCGTGGTACTAAAAATCAGCACTGGACTTTGAAGCACAAGATCAGCAGTTCAAACCCACCAGCTGCTCCTCAGAAGCCTTATACAAGGTCGCCATGAGTCGGAACCAAGTCGACAACACTTAATAAAAACAACAGCATACTGAAGTCTTCAGCTTACTTTGAAATGCATCCAAAAAACCATTAGATGATGGTTTTGATTGACAGAGTGCTGGAGAGACACGTAATAAAACAAGTATAGTAAAATGAAAATTGTAGCATCTAGGTGGCACATATGAGGGGGGGTCAAAAAAATTCATGGAAAATTCCATCACCTTTTAAATTCATCTGCCCATGAACTTTTTGAAGCCCCTTCCTATGTTCACTATAGAACTCTCAAGTTTTCATACATTACAGGTTAAATGGTATCCTAAAAAAATGTGTTGAAATCCTAATCTGGTTCCTGTAATTGTGACACTATTGGGAAACAGGGACTTTCTTTTGTTATGCTAACAATCATATCTGAGTAGGTTGGATCTTAAGCCTCCTATTTTTAAGCTATAAAAAGTGGAGAATGGGAAGAAAGAACAAACAAGATGGCGGATCGGGTGGAAGTGCAGTAAAGGTGCTCCGCCAACAACAACACAGAATACCTGACCAAGCAGGCTCAGGAGACGGTCCCAGAACTTTGAACCACATATAAAGGAATACTTAGAAGGTAGGAAGGCTCATAGCTGGGGGAATTTGTGACAGAAGCAAGAAATCTATTGCTTTCTAGTCTGGGATGCTTGGCTGCTCCAGGAGCCGCCATCTTGGGTGAGACCACGTGGGGGAAGGAACAGAGCGGCCACAGACGCCTGGCAGAACCGCTGAGATAAAGATGTGGACATTCTTTTCTTTTGGTAGCTATTCATTGATCCCTTGCTATCTATGCACCTCCATTCTGGTGACTATAGGGGTGCCTGAGCTAGTGGGGACCCCAGCCCCACCCTTGGAGGGTTCCATTATGCATGCACGCAGATCTTCTCGAAATTTAAAGAGACAGTGTCCAATTAAAACCAAACAGCCACCGCCAACCCTGAACTGTTTACAACTAGAAAAAAGTCCTGATCGGGGATTGTGGAGTGGGACAAGCAGACAAAAGAGGAAATAAACTGAAAATTAAATGCTAAGTTACGTCAAAACGAATAACAGTGGTATCTTGAAACTTCTCAGGAGGAAGAGTGAAAAGGGAAGCCCATTTCCTGACCACATCTACCTAGAGGCATTCAGAAAGCATAAAAAAATATCAAAATACATACCCATCTAAGTACTAATTCCACAGATAACCCCTGAAGATGCCCAAAAAACAGAAGCAGATGACCATATCTGCACATGTC